CGCGGAAGCTGCCTGCGGCGGCCACGCCCAGTGTCACGTGTGTTCGGACAGGCATGCTCGACACTTACACTAGGCGGTTCCATGATCGCATTCATGCAAATATATTCACTCGCGCGCAGACCCATTCATACTCAGATTCCCTCGCGCTCTGACTCACCCGCGTTCTTTCTCTCGTAATCAGATCTATCGTATTCCTTTGCGTTGTGTACCCCGCCACATTTCGGCACACCCCTCATGCGGTTCGTGGCCCCATAGGGAGCGCCACCGAAGAAGATACTCACAATTGCGATACTCACAACTGCATATGGTTGGGTCCTTTGCCAGGATAATGTTCGGTTTCGTGCGTGGTTTTTCGCCAAAATGATCAAGGATGCTCCTTGATGGTCCTCGCCGAAGAAGAAATGCACACGTCCGAGCGATGCCAAGTAAGGGGGGGGGTCAGAGGCGGTCCCCTTTCGTGCCCCGCTCGGGCCCCTCCGGAGCCCCAGGGGGACTCGGGTCAGGTACACCACGTGGTCCATTTCCGATCGTGCTCGTTTCTAATCGTGCTCGTTTCGGACTGTCCCTGGCCGCCCAGTGGCCAGGAAGAGGCCCAGGATAGAACCATGAGAGATGAGAAAAGATCGTGGGCCCCCCCCCAGACCCCCCAGAAAAATCAGAGAACTTTCGCAGAATCAGACGCGACAAAGGTGTACCGTTTGGGTACCTTTTCAGACCACCCTCGCCGCACGCCCACTTATGATTATGTCGGGCCTGTCCCCCTACATTGGGGATTTTCGACGAAGAATAGAACATACCCCCAAAATAATACAAACATAGTCTGGGGACTCTTTATATTTATATATATATATATATAAACAAGTTTGGGGTATGTTTTCCTATTACCCAGCCATCCTGTGGTGTTGGGTCCTCGTTTAAAGGGACGGTGCCCCGCGTTCTCCTTCCTCCCGCTGCCCCCTCCCTCCTCCCTCCTCCCCCTCCTTGCCTCTGCTCTCGGCACGTGGCCCCATAGGGAGCTCCACCGAAGGCCCCAGTGCTCGCGGCCGCATGCGTCACGCACACCCAATTCGGTACACCCCTCACACGCTTCGTGGCCCCATAGGGAGCTCCACCGAAGGCCCCAGTGCCCGCGGCCGCATGCGTCACGCACACCCAATTTCGGCACACCCCTCACACGTTTCGTGGCCCCATAGGGAGCTCCACCGAAGGCCCCAGTGCCCGCGGCCGCATGCGTCACGCACACCTAATTCGGCACACCCCTCACACGCTTCGTGGCCCCATAGGGAGCTCCACCGAAGGCCCCAGTGCCCGCGGCCGCATGCGTCACGCACACCCAATTCGGCACACCCCTCACACGTTTCGTGGCCTCAGAGGGACTCCACCGAATGCCCCAGTGGCACGCGTCGGATGTGTCCCCCACACCCATTTCGGCACACCCCTCACACGTTTCGTGGCTCCATAGGGAGCTCCACCGAAGGCCCCAGTGCCCGCGGCCGCATGCGTCCCCCACACCCATTTCGGCACACCCCTCACACGTTTCGTGGCTCCATAGGGAGCTCCACCGAAGGCCCCCGTGCCCGCGGCCGCATGCGTCCCCCACACCCATTTCGGCACACCCCTCACCCGTTTCGTGGCTCCATAGGGAGCTCCACCGAAGGCCCCATTGGCGCTGCCGCCGCTCATGCGTCCACGTCAACACGCCAATTCGTAACACCCCTCACACGCTTCGTGGCCCCATAGGGAGGCTCCACGAAGGCCCCGTGCCCGCGGCCGCATGCGTCACCCACACCCATTTCGGCACACCCCTCACACGTTTCGTGGCTCCATAGGGAGCTCCACCGAAGGCCCCATTGCCCGCGGCCGCATGCGTCACCCACACCCATTTCGGCACACCCCTCACACGTTTCGTGGCTCCATAGGGAGCTCCACCGAAGGCCCCAGTGGCCGCGGCCGCATGGGTCACCCACACCCATTTCGGCACACCCCTCACACGTTTCGTGGCTCCATAGGGAGCTCCACCGAAGGCCCCAGTGCCCGCGGCCGCATGCGTCCCCCACACCCATTTCGGCACACCCCTCACACGTTTCGTGGCTCCATAGGGAGCTCCACCGAAGGCCCCAGTGTCCGCGGCCGCATGCGTCCCCCACACCCATTTCGGCGGCACAGACCCCTCTACACGTTTTTCATGGCCCCATAGGAGCTCCACCGAAGGCCCCAGTGTCCCGCGGCCGCATGCGTCCAGCGCACACCCAATTCGGTCACCCTCACCGTTTCGTGGCCCCGTGGGAGCTCCACCGAAGGCCCCAGTGGCCCGCTGCCCGCTGCTCACGCACACCAATTCGGCCCGCACCCCCTCACACTTTCGTGGCCCCATAGGGAGGCTCCACCGAAGGCCCCAGTGGCCGCGGCAGCATGCGTCACGCCACCCAATTCGCACACCCCTCCCACTTTCGTGGCCCCATAGGGAGCTCCACCGAAGGCCCCAGTGCTGCCGCCCGCATGCGTCACGCACACCTAATTCGGCACACCCCTCACACGTTTCGTGGCCCCATAGGGATCTCCACCGAAGGCCCCAGTGCTGCCGCCCGCATGCGTCACGCACACCCAATTCGGCACACCCCTCACACGTTTCATGGCCCCATAGGGAGCTCCACCGAAGGCCCCAGTGCTGCCGCCCGCATGCGTCACGCACACCCAATTCGGCACACCCCTCACACGTTTCGTGGCCCCATAGGGAGCTCCACCGAAGGCCCCAGTGCCGCCGCCGCATGCGTCCCCCACACCCATTTCGGCACACCCCTCACACGTTTCGTGGCCCCATAGGGAGCTCCACCGAAGGCCCCAGTGGCCGCGGCCGCATGCGTCACCCACACCCATTTCGGCACACCCCTCACACGTTTCGTGGCCCCATAGGGAGCTCCACCGAAGGCCCCAGTGCCCGCGGCCGCATGCGTCACCCCCATCCACTTCGGCCAACCCCTCACACGCTTCGTGGCCCCATAGGGAGCTCCACCGAAGGCCCCAGTGCCCGCGGCCGCATGCGTCACCCACACACATTTCGGCACACCCCTCACACGCTTCGTGGCCCCATAGGGAGCTCCACCGAAGGCCTCAGTGCCTCCGCCCGCATGCGTCACCCCCACCAATTTCGGCACACCCCTCACACGATTCGTGGCCCCATAGGGAGCTCCACCGAAGGCCCCAGTGCCGCCGCCCGCATGCGTCCCCCACACCCATTTCGGCACACCCCTCACACGCTTCGTTGCCCCACAGGGAGCTCCACCGCGACGTGCGGACGCTGCCGTCGGGGTTCCTGCGGAAGCTGCCTGCGGCGGCCACGCCCAGTGTCACGTGTGTTCGGACAGGCATGCTCGAACCATTCACATTCATGTACACTTACACTAGGCGTTTCCATGATCGCATTCATGCAAATATATTCACTCGCGCGCAGACCCATTCATACTCAGATTCCCTCGCGCTCTGACTCACCCGCGTTCTTTCTCTCGTAATCAGATCTATCAAATTCCTTTGCGTTGTGTACCCCCGGCACACCCCTCATGCGGTTCGTGGCCCCATAGGGAGCGCCACCGAAGAAGATACTCACAATTGCGATACTCACAACTGCATATGGTTGGGTCCTTCGCCAGGATAATTTTCTTTTTCGCCGAAAATCCCCCTGTAGGGGGACAGGCCCGACCTAAACTTGTGACCCCCCCCCATTGTGCGCATCGCCCGAGGCCCGGCGGCCCCTCCCCGCTGGGGGGCGGCCCCCTGGCGAGGCGAGGCGGGGAGCCGCGCCCGGGCAGGCCGCGGATGGCGAAGCGTGCGAAATCTAAGGGCAATGTCGTGGAATGGCCAGGGCATACAGTCGGGGCGTTGACCTAAGGAACCCTGAATAAGGAGCGAGGCCCCTATCTTCCATAAGTTAAACTTCGATTTCCGATCGAAAACCTAAGGAAAAAACAAAGCAAGCTGCGAAACAATTAAGGAACACGGAGCCCCTCCCCAACGAAAAGGGTTCCTTCTTCAGGGCCCCGACTGTAAGGGCAATGTAGTGGAATGGCCAGGGCATAGTTTCACAAACTCGGGCTCCCAGGCTCAATTCCCAAGGGCACCCAAGTTGTTCCCCCCCGCAATCTGCAGAGGAGCCACGCCGGGCGGCCCTGCCCCAGAGGCCCAGGCCCCCCCCCCCCCGGCGCTCGCTGCCATGGCCTAGTTGGGCGGCCCTCTGGCTCCGAGCCAACCTGTCGCGTGCGCCGGCCGCGGCGCAGGGGGGGGGGCGTGGCAGTCGGAAGGGAGGGTCGAAGGAGAACGCCATCGGAAGGAAAGGGGAGAGCGACGGGGGGGGGGGACGCGAGCCCAGACCTCCGACGTATTGAAGTCATCAAGACGGAGGGTCGAAGGAGAACGCCATTGGAAGGAAAGGGGAGAGCGACGGGGGGGGGGACGCGAGCCCAGACCTCCGACGCATTGAAAAATCAAGACGGAGGTTTCTCTCGATTTTCGGCCTCTGGCAGCCCCCTCGCCGAGCCCCGGGACCGTCAAAAAACGACTCAGGATGAAAAGCCGGTCCTGGGGAATGGGTCGAGACTTCTGGGGACCCCGTATTGAGAAAATCACGACGTCGGATCTCTGGGAGAGAGAAAGAGAGAGAGAGAGAGAGAGAGAGAGAGGAGGCCTTCGCAGAAGGCGGCGGGGCTTTTCGCGGAGGTCCTCGCGCCCTCTGGGGAGTCTCCCGTGCCTCCGGGGAGGGCTCGCGAGACTTCTCTCGCGAGGCCAGAAGACCTCCGGGCCTTCCGAGAAGGCCGGCCCCCTCTCACTCCCCCCCCTTCTGGGCTCGCCGACCCAAGGGGCCTCCGCAGCAGACGTGGAGGAACGAGAGGACAAGTCAGCAGCACCGGCACGCGGGCGGCACGGCGGGAGGCGGCAGACAGCACATGCGACACCGGAAGCCGCACATCTCCTCTCCTAGGGGTCGGCGGAATGGCGTACGCCTCTTGGATAGGGGGAGCCTCATTTGCGTTGCGGCGCCAACCCGCCCACATCGACGACAGCACCTCCGCGATCTTGCGCTGTGCGGTGGCCGATTTCGACTTCTCGCTCATGGTCATCACCTGGATCGTGAGGTCCATACGTCGCAAGAGAATCTGTCTGCGCATCGTGTACTCTTTGCGGACTGCATCAACCTGTTCCCTCACGGCCATCTCCTTGGAGATCCACGCATGCGTTGGGAGTCCCGAAACAGTGCCGTGACAGACCGTGCGGTGACCTCGAAATCCCACTGACTGACCGCACAGTGTGATCACCGCACCGTTGGGGCCCCCGACTGAGCATCACACCGATCGAATGAGCTCAGGAAGACCCCAGGAAGACTACGAGGGGGGTTACTGTAAGATGGCAGGGCGGATGAGAGGACGATGAGACGGAGGCGAACTATGTGAGTGGGATGCATACCAGACGTTGACACGTTTCGAGCCCTGCATCTCCTGCATGATCGACAGGTTGCTGCTTGCGAGGGCGGGCGCGGTGGAGGCAGCGGAGCTGTCCACAGGAGGTACGCCTTGCGCGCACATGGCGTCGGCGGCCTTGGCCATGCGCTCGACCACGGGCTTTGAGGCGTCGGCGTCTGCTGCGGCCGCCCTCTTGACCAGAGCCTCGACGAGCTCCTCTGGAGGATTTTCAACCGTACGCCGGCGCCGCAGCTGGCCAGCGCCCCGCCAGGCCCAGCAGCACTGGCGCGCAGAGCATCCCGACACGGGCCAGGGCGGCGTGCACACCAGTCCTGGGGCCAGGAAGTGCCTGGTCGACACCTGTGCCCGCGCGCCCAGCAGGTTCGCGAGACAAGATGTCTTGCTGTCGGATCGCCAAGGGGACTTGTCTTCGTCTACGATGGGCGCCGCTAAGCTTCACGACGACAGCAAACGCGTCTTGCGCAAGAAGCCATAGCGACCTTCCACCGCGACTTGCGCGGGCGGCCAGCGTTGCACAACGCGTGGAGCAGAGGGCGCTTGCGCGCGACCTGGCGCGGGAAGCCATGTCCGGGCAATCGGCCCCGTTTCCTTCCGTCGCTCAGGTGGCCGCCACGACGCCCGCCGCCGCCCGGAATGCCCCAAAGGCTGCAGCACTCCATGAGAAGCCGGAGGCACCTTGGGCCAGGGACGGGTACCTCTGACCTGGGGGGACCAAACGGTACCGATACTGCTGCTCTACGGACCTCTCCTGGCGTGCGGTCTGACCGGGATTTCGAAGCGAATCCAGCCGTGGCGACGACGGAATAAAATAATAATAATAATAATAATAATAAGACTAAACATAATAATAATACTAATAGTAGTAGTACTAATCGTAGTAGTAGTAGTAGTAGTAGTAGTAGTAGTAGTAGTAGTAGTAGTAGTAGTAGTAGTAGTAGTAGTAGTAGTAGTAGTAGTAGTAGTAGTAGTAGTAGTAGTAGTAGTAGTAGTAGTAGTAGTAGTAGTAGTAGTAGTAGTAGTAGTAGTAGTAGTAGTAGTAGTAGTAGTAGTAGTAGTAGTAGTAGTAGTAGTAGTAGTAGTAGTAGTGGTAGTATAGTAGTAGTAGTAGTAGTAGTAGTAGTAGTAGTAGTAGTAGTAGTAGTAGTAGTAGTAGTAGTAGTAGTAGTAGTAGTAGTAGTAGTAATACTAATAGTAATCATAATAATAGCGGTGCTTTTTCCTCTCCTGGGAGGAAAAATCGCCACCGCGCCGCCTGACACGTTGAGGCGTGGAAGAACGCCAAGGGGTGTCTGGTAAGGCTTTGTAATCTAATATGAGAACGCTCCCCTTTCTGCTATCATATTCCTGCATGCTTCCCCCCTGCTCACTGGGGCCACTTCTCTCGCACGCTCGACGATGGTGCACTTCTCCCTTGGCAGCTAATTCCTGAAACCCCCTTCCACGCGTGCCCGCTCGACGATGGTGCACTTCTCGCTTGGCAGTTAATTCCTGAAACCCCCTTCCACGCGTGCCCGCTCGACGATGGTGCACTTCTCGCTTGGCAGTTAATTCCTGAAACCCCCTTCCACGCGTGCCCGCTCGACGATGGTGCACTTCTCGCTTGGCAGTTAATTCCTGAAACCCCCTTCCACGCGTGCCCGCTCGACGATGGTGCACTTCTCGCTTGGCAGTTAATTCCTGAAACCCCCTTCCACGCGTGCCCGCTCGACGATGGTGCACTTCTCGCTTGGCAGTTAATGCCTGAACCCCCCTTCCACGCGTGCCTGCTCGAGGATGGAGCACTTCCTGCATGACAGCCGATGCCTGAACCATCATTCTATGCGCGCCCGCTCGAGGATTGCGCACTTCCCGCATGGCTGCTCCTGGACCCTTCATCCTACGCGCACCCGCTCGAGGATCGTGCGCTTCCCGCATTTCCAGGCGCTGCTCCCAAGCGCTCCAGGGCCTCCCAAGCCACAAACCTTCGTTAAACACAACGGATATGCCAGATGCGTCCCGAGCTTCCGAGGCGTCCCGTACAAGATGACCCAACATGCCTCGAAGACTACCCAACATGGCCCCAAGGCGGCTGACAATTGTTATTCAAGACGGCCTAAGATGCCTGCAAGAGCGCTCCAAAGAGCGACAAGAGGACCTCCAACACGGCCCGACTGCGCCACAGCCAACATGATGTCCCTTGACGTCTGAACGATTTTCGCACTCCTCTTTTCGGGCTGCCGTCCGCTCAAGACGGCACACGAGGACCCCACAACGGCCCAGAAAGCATCCAAGGCGGCCCCGAAACAGCCCACGAGGGCCTCCCGCGGGACCCAAGACGGCCTCAGAGGGCCCGTCGACGGCCCAAGGCGGCGCCACGATGGCCCCCAGGCATGCATCGTACAGGCAAGAGGGCCCACCAACGGTCCAAGAGGACCCCAAGCTGGCGGAAGAGGGCCCCAAGACGCCCCAAGAGGGCCCCAAGGGACCCCCAAGACTGCCTCACAAGAAACTTCAAGGCAGCCCCAGTCGACCCAACCGAGTCCCACCAGCCCTCTCGGCGTAGGTGGTCTAACGATGTCTTTCTTTCCTCTTCCAAAGAACCCCTCTTCCCCTTCGGGAAAGGGTTAACCACTGTTCCCTATAAAATATACAGCCCCTCCCCCAGGCGACTGGGAGCCAACCCAGGTCCATGCGCCCCCCCACCATCCCTTGTAAACAGCAATACAAAACACACTCTGCCCCCACCATCCCTGGTGAAACACTACAAACACACTCTGTCTCCAAATTCTGAATATGCGCAGCGAACCCGACGCGGGTTCCCCCCACCATCCCTGTCAAAAAAACAATACAGAGTACACTTGGCGGCGGCGGCGGCTGCGGCGGCTGCGGCGGGGGCAGCGGCTGCGGCGGCTGCGGCGGTGGCGGCGGCGGGGGCGGCGGCGGCGGCGGCGGCGGGGGCGGGGGCGGCGGCGGCGGTGGCGGCGGCGGCAGCAGCGGTGGCGGCATCGACTGCGGCGGCAGCGGCTGCGGCGGCGGCGATTTGGGCGCGCGGCGGCGGCGGCGGGCGGCAGCGCGGTGGCGGCGGCAGCGGCGGACAGCGGCGGCGGCGGCGGCGCGGCGGCGGCGGCGGCGGCGGCGGATTGGCCCCCAGTAGCTGGCCATCCAACGACGACTGCTGCATATGCTGCGGCTCGGGCCAGGCTCGGGTGCTACGTATGTGTTGGGAGGGCGGGTGGGAGTGAGCGAGACGGCTTACGGGCGGGGAGGGAGACTCTTGACCCTTCCCCCTACCCCCGCGCCTGTATGTTTTTTGGAGGGTTTCGCGGGTGGTCGGAGGGCCCATTTTCGGCACCTGGGAGGGCCAACTTTTGACACCCCTCACGAGGATCGTGTCCCCCGAGGGGGGGGGGACCTCGATCGGGAGACCACCTCCTTTGATCAATAGCCCCGAAGATGGCCCCAAGAGGCGCTCCAGGGCTCCCAAGAGAGCCCCAAGAGAGCCCCAAGAGGGCTCCAAGAGGGCCCTCTTGGGGCCCAGTAAGCACCCGAGAGGCCCCCGAGCGGCCTCAGAGAGCCCACGATGACCTCCAAGATGGCTCAGATAGCCCAATCTGGCTCAAGATGGCTCCCAAAATTCTCCACACGGCCCCAAGACCGCTCCAAGAGCGCCCAAGAGCGCTCCAGGAGAGCCCCAAGAAGCGGTCTGCGGGCTCCTGAGGGGGGAGCTGGGTTGGGGACCCCCTCCATCGTGTAATCGATGGCCTCCAAGATGACCCCCAGAAACCTTCCAGGGTTACCAAGAGGGTTTCCAAGAATGCCCCCAACAATTCCAAAGAGCACCAACAGCAGCAACAAACGCAATAATACCTCTGGATGGTTCCATGAGTCCTCGTCCGCGTCGTCCTCATCCTAGTCCTCGTCCTCCTCGTCCTCATCAGCGTCCTCGTCCTCATCCTCCCCCTGCTCCTCCTCCGCCTCTTCCCCTCGCCCCCACGCGGCCCCTAGGCATGACCCGGAGAGGCCTTCCAAGGCCATTCCCTTGCTCCCATAGATCACTCGGTTCACCCTGGTTGCTCGCTTTGTTTCCCTAGATGTGTCCCTTCGTCCCTTTCCCCGTCAGCTCTCATGGGCAGGGCGTCTGCATGGGCTGGTGGGGATACGCGAAGCGCGAAGCATTTCCTCCTCCTCCTCCTCCTCATCATCATCATCATCACCATCGTGATCATCATCAGCATCATCATCATCAGCAGCATCATTATCAGCATCATCATCACCATCATCAGCATCAGCATCAACACCATCACCATCACCATCATCATCACCATCACCATTATCGTCATCATCAGCATCATCATCATCACCAGCATCGCCGACGTTGTAATAAGCATCTTCTGCGACGTCATGTTCAGCATCGTCGCCGTCGCCATCATAATCAACATCGCCATCAACATCACCATCGACCCCTATCGACACCAACACCACCATCATCATCATCATCAGCATCATCATCATTATCATCATCAACATCACCACCACCATCATCTGCAACATCACCATCTTTCATCATCATCACCATCATCATCATCATCGTCATCATCATCATCATCATTACCACCATCAATCAGCATCGCCTTCATCAGCAACACCATCCGCACCATCATCATCATCATCCACCTCATCCTCCTCCTCCTCACCATGATCATCAGCGTCACCATCAGCATCACCATCACTAGCACCATCAGCATCATCAGATCATCATCATCAGCATCATCTCTGTCATAATCACAAACATCACCATCTACCATCACCACCATGAATCGCCGACCATCGATCATCGATCACCAGTCATCGTCATCATCACCACCATCATTCTGATCATGATCATGATCATGATCATGATCATGATCATGATGATCATCATCATCATCATCATCATCATCATCATCATCATCATCATCATCATCATAATCTTCACCACCATCGTCATCATCATCACCGTAACCATCCTCATCCTCACCCTCATCCCCATCCTCATTCTGATCCTCGACCGCATCCTCTTCATCCTCATCCTCATCCTCATCATGATCCTTAATTCCATCTTCCTCGATTATCATCATCGTCATCACCCCCATCATCCTCATTATCGTCATCATGGCTCTCATAAGCCTTGAGACACGAAGTGTCACACGTGACGTCCCGCGTGCCCCCTCGAACAATCGCCACCTAGAATGCTGGGCTGGCACGGTGGCGGCACTTGCCGCAGGCAACTGGATACCTCTGACTCCTCTTGATTGCCTGTGATGGGGCTGGAGTAGCTCGGTTTTCTTCCGTCGATCAGTTGACCCGCGGGGGCCATCGGTGGGTAAGACATTCTGCGGGAATCAACTGACAAGTCGCTCTCTTGTTCGACGCGGTTGGCAGGTCAAGATCCTCCGCGAGTTTCATGCTGCTCTTCGTGTCCACCGCCTGCGCCACGCCCTCCAAGTCGTCGGCGGGCTTCTCGACCCAGCCCTTCCCGTCTCCTGGTGTGCTGCCAGAATAGACCTGGACGCCCCTCACATGCTGGCGATCCCGCGCGTACTATGGCGACTGCAGCGCACCCCCGCCCAAACGCTGCTTATCGATACCCAGCCCCCCCTGAGTAACGACCGCTACCCGAAATACTGCAAGAAGAACCTCGAAGGAGGTCATCACCAACGTTTGGCGGCGCGCACGAGGGGGTGGGGGGAGGGGGGAGAGCTTCTTAGAAGCAGGCTGCTTCTTAGAAGGCGCCGGCCTTACATCTATAGATAAGGCCCGCGCCTTCTAAGAAGCAGGGGTGCTTCTAAGAAGCCCTCCCCCTCCCCCCACCCCCCTCTGCGCGTGGCTGAATTACCTTGTTGGCTTGGGCGATGAACGCAACTTCTGTAGATTTCCAGCTTGTCGGGGGGCTGCCGTGGCCGGCATGTTTGGGGGGGGACGCGCCGGCCTCGGCCAGACCCGGGGCCCTCGCAACACACAAATAAAAAGATGCCTTATATTTTCCTATATTTTCTGGGTTTTTGTCTTCCACACCACTTCCCCCCATATTCTCCCATATTTTCTGGGGGGTCGACGATTAATTGTGTCTGTATGTTTTTTCCCCTCCTGAGGGAAGGCCTCCAGCAACGACCGCGTTTGGGGAAAGAGTCGTGCCATCATGCAGGGAAAAGCAGTGGCCCCACCAAGAGAACGAGCCGTCGGGGGGAGCTCAGAATGGGCAAGGCTCCCATCCACAGAGCAATCTTTTTTCATGGAAGCACTGGCCCGGGGGAATCCGAACCCTGGTCAGTCGGGCTCTGCAGTATCCTGCAAAAAAGTCTCAGAGATCCTGCGGACTCCTGCGCGCTGGCTCTGCCTGATCCTGCAAGATCCGGCGCTCTGGCTGGCCCCCGTTTGCACTGACCCTCGTCTCAAGAGAGGACGCCCGAGATGGGTACGGAGAGGATGGGTGGGATGCCCAACAACACGTGTTGTCCAAAATCAACAGCGGCCGCTGTTGGGCAGGCGGCCTTCTGTCTCAAATGTGCAACGTCCGCGGCGACGCCGACAGCGAACCCTGCTCAGAATGAGCAGGAACTGCTGTTGGACTCTGTACCCATTCTGTCCGTACCCATTCCGATCGTCCCCATCTCAGGGCTCCCGATCCTCCGAGCTCCTCGGGGGTCCTGGCAAGCCAGAGCTCCTCGAGAAGAGGCGGGGGCGGAGGAGCCGGCAGCGGCAGCGGCAGCTTCCCAGCGAGCACAAGGACCAGGGGGCTACCAGCGGCTTGCACAGGTCCCCCTCGTGCAGGCGGGGGATTCGTGTTCGAGCTCGAGCACGTCTTACTTCCCTGGACAGCCAAGCTGCCTATCCGAAAGAGTGCGTGGGGAGGAAAAGCAGACCCCACAAATTTGCTGACTCGAGAGCCCTGCCAACAACTGCCTGTGCTGTGGCCACTGACCGCCAGAGACCACGCTGACAGTGCACGTGCGCTCCTGTGCCTTGAGCTTGGCCAGGCCAGCCCTGGAGCCAAGTCCTCCTCCGACTCCACCTCCAGCTCCACCTCCTCCTCCTCCTCCTCCTCCTCCTCCTCTTCTTCTTTTTCCTCCTCCTCCTCCTCCTCTTTTTCTTTTTCCTCCTCCTCCTCCTCCTCCTCCTCTTTCTCCTCCAGTTCCTCCTCCTCCTCCCTCCCGTCCCTCCCTCTCCCTTCTCCTCCCCCGCCCCTCTCCTCTCTCCCCCTCTCCTCTCCTCCCCCCCTCGTCCGCCCCCGCGGCGCTCCGCTGGCCGGGCCCGCAAGCGCGGGGAGGTCGAAGCCCCGGCCGGCCCGCAGGCGGGTGCAGATGAGGTCGGCCGCGAGCTCCGAGAGCAGGGCGCGCCTTGCGGAGGAGGAGGAGGAGGAGGAGGAGGAGGGAGGAGGGAGGAGGAGGAGGGAGGAGGGAGGGAGGAGGAGGAGGAGGGAGGAGGGGGAGGGAAGAGGAGGAGGAGGAGGAGGAGGAGGAGGAGGAGGAGGAGGAGGAGGAGGAGGAGGAGGAGGAGGAGGCGGAGGCGGAGGCGGAGGAGGAGGGAGGAGGAGGAGGAGGGAGGAGGAGGAGGAGGAGGAGGAGGAGGGAGGGGAGGAGGAGGGAGGAGGAGGGAGGAGGAGGGCGCGCCTGCGGGGGAGGGTCGGGCCGGGCGAAAGGGGGGGATAGCAAAGGGGGGGGTTGAGAATCAGCTTGCGCAGCTGACTTTCCCGGCGCCTCCCGGCGCCGGGAGGCGCCCCTGTATCGAGGAGTGGGCCCGGCGGCGGGGCCGAAACCAGCTGCATGCAGCAAATTTCGTAACCCCCCCTTTCCCAATCCCCCCCTTTCGTGCGGCCCAGGAGGGGGGGTCGGATCGGATCGGAGGATGGGATCGGATCGGAACTTGAGGCCAGTTCGATCGAAGCCTCCTCTGAGTGAACGAAAATAGAGAAAGGTAGGCATGACAGCAAGACGACTGCCCCGATGGGAGCGGTCGGCAGGAGCCTGCAGTGGGACAGCAGGGGCCACGTCCCACTCTCGCACAAGACCATAGCCCCTCCTGAGCCCAAAGTGGTCCTCATTTCAGCGCCTTACACCCAGCGCCCTCGCATTACAAAGGCTCCCTCTGGGGGTGGGGGTCGGCGTCCTCTCCAGACCCTCTCGCGTCGCGGAAAATTCGCGACAACGTTTTTTGGGTTTGTTTTATTTCTTATTCCATGGGGGGGTCAAAGCGGCGCGGCGAGAGACCGCGTGGTGACCTCGTAATTCCCAGACAGCTTCTAGGGTTCTCATAAAGGTAAACAGTAGCGGCCTCCCGAATGGGGTCCGAGCAGGTGGGGCCCGAGGATCGCGCCACATCACCAATGCATCGGCCACGTCGACGGGCGACGTCGACGAGGAGAAACTGGGACTCCACATCCGGCCGCATGGCCGATGCCTCGGCGCTGTGGCGCGACCCTTCGACCCCATCCAGATCGGACCCCACCTGGGAGGCCCAGAACCAGCGGGCCGCAGGAGAGCCCCACGATATGGGGGGCGGGGAGCCCGGGGACGCTTGGTCCACCGGGCCGCTGCGCCCGAGAGGCCTCCTCGCACGCCGGGGCCGCGCTCTCGCCTCCGTGCCGGCTGCACCTGTTGCTCCCGACGGCCACGCTCCCTCGGAGCGGATGCGCAGAGGTGCACGTGGTCGTGCTCTCGCCTCCGTCAACAAGTCCGGACGGCCACGATGCCTCGGAGCGGATGCGCAGAGGTGCACGTGGTCGTGCTCTCGCCCCAGTGCCGGCCGCACGGCCACGATCCCCTTGCACCAAGACGCACAGGAAGGTGCACGTGGCCGTGCTCCAGCCCTGCCCCGGCCGCTCTCGCCCCCGTCCCGCCTCTTCACCTCTGCTGCTGCAGGAGGGCGCGAGGTACTTGGGGGGGGTCCCGAAACAGTGCGGTGACAGACTGTGTGGTGGTCTCGAAAGCTCAAGAGACCTCACCGCACGATCCGTCGCCGCACGATTCGGGGGCCCTGGAGGCCCCAGTCGCCACAGTCATCCTCTGAGAACGACCCGCGTCCCAAAGCTATGTAGTCACCCGAGCCCCCCCACTGACTCACCACACGGCGTGGTCACCACACCGTTTGCCCCCCCTCCGCCCCCGCCCTTAGGCGATGTTTCGGCTTCTCGGGGCCCTCAACCCTGGGATCGTCAGCAAAAACGACTCGGGATGGCAAGCCCGTCCTCGGGAAGGGGTGCCGACCTCTGGGGGTCCACGTTGCGAGAGAGTAGCGCCGTCGGGGGTCCGGGTCCGGCGGGATCCCTCGATGTGGATGCCCTTTTCCTCGACTTCAGCACCTGGGGCCCGCTGTTGGGCCCCGGGGAAATCACATGACAAACGATCAACACGCACCCATACCCATAGGGGGGACGGAATGAAGTGTGGGTGCGTGTTGTCGGATAGGGGTCCCCGCTCGAACGGGAGCCTCCCCAGGGGTCCGACAACCCGCACCCATACCCATAGCCAGTCCTTCTCCCTCCGACCTCCCTATGGGTATGGGTGTGTGTTGTTCGTTCGCCAATCACAGGCGGATCCGAGACCGACAACGCTCCCTTGGGGGGAGGAGGGGCGTCGTCGCCGTCGCAGGACTCGGGGCCAGCTCGAGGTCAGCTCGGGAAGGGGTCCCACTTCCCTCCTCCCTCCTCCTCCTCCTCCTCCTCCTCCTCCTCCTCCTCCTCATTACATCTTCCTCCTCCTCCTCCTCCTCCTCCTCCTCCTCCTCCTCCTCCTCCTCCCTCCTCCTCCCGCCTCCTCAAGGTCAGCTCAGGAAAGGGTCCTCGTCCTCCGACGGTGTGAATTTCTGAATCCGGGCGTTCTTCATCGACTTCGGCATCTGGAGCACGTCTCGGCGACTCCGAAGGGCGCGGTTTGCAAAAGGGGCGGTTTGCAATGCGCACCCTGGGGAGCGGGGGGGGGCCTCGACAAAGTTCTCCGCCGTGCCCCGAGGCGGCCCGACGAGGGCAACGTGGTGCCCCCCAAGCTCAAACCGACGCATGTCGCAAACCACACCCTGGGGTAACCATACCCTTGTAGTCGCCGACCTTTATCGAGTCCTGGGCCATCAAAAAATGGATCTGTGGTGCAAAACTGAAACTCTTCCTCGGTTGGGGTGGGCGGGGGGGCCGTCGTCGCCGCCGCCCAGACGCAGACCAGACGCAGCGGTCAGCTCAGGGCCGGCTCAGAAAGGTCGTCGCCGTCGTCGCCATCGCCAGGGCGGCTTAGGGCTAAGATAACCAAGCTGGACGATGACCCCCTCCCACTTCCCTCCTCCCTCCTCCTCCTCCTCCTCATTATATCCTCCTCCTTCTCCTCCTTCTCCTCCTCCTCCTCCTCCTCCTCCTCCTCCTCCTCCCCTTCATTACTCTCCTCCTGATGTTCTTCGATCCTTGAGCCTCGATGCTCGAGCCTGGGCGCCGCGAGGCAGATCGTCGTCATCGCGGCTGCCGCCGCCGTCGTCGTCCGACGCCGTCGCCTTGGTCGGTCGACGTCGTCGTCGACGTCGCCGTCGTCGTCGTCGTCGCGGTCCGTCGTCGTCGTCGTCGTCGCCACCGCCGCCACCGCCGTCCGTCGCCGTCCGTCGTCGCGGTCCGTCGTGGTCCATCGCCGCCGCCGCCGCCTCCGCCGCCTTCGTCGTCGTTATCACTATTAGTGTTATTATTATTAATTATTATTATTATTATTATTATTATTATTATTATTATTAATTCTTATTATTATTATTATCATCATTATGATTATTACTACTATTATTATTAGTATTATTAATATTCTTTCTTGTTATCATATTTTATAGTATGATGTCTACTACTATTAGTACTACTATTATTATTATTATGATTCTTATTATTATTCGTATCATTATTACGACTATTATTATTATTATCATTATTATGATTGTTATTATGGTTCGTATGATTATTATGTTATGGTGTTATCTTTATTTTTCGAATTATCATTGTTACTATTTTTCGTATACTATTATTTTTTCATATTCTTCTTCTTATTACTATTGTTATTATGAATATTATTATTTGTATTATTACTATTACTCGTATTCTTCGTATTATTATTATTATTATTATCATCGTCGTCGTCATTATCGTCATCGTTACCGTTATCGTCTTCGTCGTCGTCATCGTCCTTGGCCGGTCGCCGTTGTCGGATGAGCGCGAGGGGAGGAAGGAGGAGCAACCACGACGGGGTTTAGGAGGACGATGCGGATAAGGAGGGGAGGGAGGCTGCGGAGGAGGAGAGGCAAGTGAGGGCGCCGAGGATGAGGGGGACGACGAGACATTGAAAGACCCACTGTCAAACATGGAATCCGCATGGCGCCGGGAGGCCGGCCGCAACCCTTCCGGCGCCACGGCTGGACGGCGTGAGGGCTCTCTCTCCTCTCCCGTCGGCGGGTGGGGGCCGCGAGCGCCCGCGGGAGCGCTCCCTGGCCGCCGCCAGGGAGGCGCCCCTCGGATGGGCTCGGAGGAGGAGGAAGGGGGAGGAGGAGGAGCAAACGTGCGAAGAGAGGGACGGAGCGGAGGGATGAGGAGGGGGAGGAGGATAAGGAGGAACACATAACGCTCCGTGCTGGTGCATCAGGTTCTTGCAACGTCAAAAAAGGAGGGGGACGCGGAGTAACGAGGAGGGTCAGCAATGATCATGACGGTGATGATGATGATGATGATGATGATGATGATGATGATGATGATGATGATGACGATGACGATGACGGTGATGATGACGGTGATGATGATGGTGATGATCGCACTGGATTGGGAGAAGAGGAAAGCGGACACGAAGCGGCGGGAGCGGAAACGAGGGCAAGCGGACACGAACGAAGGGGAGAGAGAGAGAGAGAGAGAGAGTCCGTCCACGGCACACGCCCTAATGCCAAACGGATAATCACCACGGCCGTCATTGTCGGAGAAGCAACCCTACCGTGAGAGCATCGTGCGTAGATACACTGCAGCCGAAAAATAAACCTCACATGATGTACTTTTTGCAATGGGGAAAATTGTCGAACCCCTGAGAGAGCGACGGTGCCGAGACAGAGCCATCACGCGTCACTCTGAACTTCTCCGATGCAGTGTTCATATCCTTGATCGTGTTCGTCATCTTCGCGATATCTTCCATGATCACCTCTAGCTGGCAGTCGATCTTCTCTTGACGGTGTGCAGCGCGAGCAAAGGACACCTACAAAGTGATATGCTTCTTGGGCACAGGGTCGCCATCTTCGGGAAGTACATGAGAGCGGCCAGAATCATACGAATCATAACTGTTTGGAAGCGGATGGCGGGCTTCCCAGTCACCCACCCGGTTGGCCGAAGACTGCGGCTGGTCAAGGAAGGGCTGCATCGAAGAGAAGAGAGCAACCTTGTCAAAGAAGACTTGCTGCTTAAGCTGCTCCTTGGTGCCGAAGGCTTGAGGCTCCTGGCGACGTAGCCGCATGGTGCCATCGAGGTACTGGGCTGTAAGGTGGCGCGGGACCTTGTACGCAGGGTCGATGTTCCGAAGCTTCCGGGCCAACTCATTCGAGATGTTCTCATGGTGCAATCGCTGCTAATGGAGGGCATCACGAAGCGTATTAGCATGTCGTCCCTGGCTGTCGGAGAACGCGCCGAGCACATCAGATGAGAATTTGGCAGCATGCTCAGCACGGTGCTACCAGAAGGAGACCGCATCGTGGGAACAACGCACCGCAGGGGCTACCAGGAGCCCTGAGCCAAATGGCTCCGGATGATGATGATGCTGCTGCTGCTGCTGGTGATGATGATGATGATGATGATGATGATGATGATGATGTTGATGGTGATGAGGATTATTATGTTGGTGTTGATGCTGATGGTGAAGCGGATGATTGTGGTGGTGATGATTGTGATGATGCTGATGGTGATGATAAGGAGGATTAATCTGATGATGGGGATGACGATGAGGATGATGGTGAGGAGTGTGACGACGCTGACGACGAGGAGGAATATGATGATGATGATGATGAGGAGGAGGAGGAGGAGGAGGAAAAGGAGGATGAGGATGATGATGGGGAGGAGGATGAGGATGAGGAGGAGGAAGATGGGGAGGAAGAGGAGGAGGAGGAGGAGGAGGAGGAGGAGGAGGAAGAGGATGAGGAGGAGGAAGAAGAGGAGGAGGAGAAGGAGGAGGAGGCGAAGGAAGAGATGGAGCGCGCCTCCACGTGGAGTCCGCGGTGGGCGACGTGAGGCCCTCGGGGAGCAGATAGCCTCTCTCCGTGGCGTACTTCACCGCCGCCTGGGGGAAACTTCCACCGCGTACGTGAGTCTGGCCCCCTCCCATCCGCCTGCGCGCCGCCCCTCCTCCTCCTCCTGCTCCTCCTCCTCCTTCCTCCTTCTCCTCCTCCTCCGCCTCCTCCTCCTCCTCCTTCTTTTCCTCCTCCTGCAAGCGCCGCGGCGGGTCTCTCGCCGACGCCCGCATCGCGCGCGCCCCCACGCGGACACGGAGCACCAGGAGGAACGCGACGGACCGGTAGGCGACCACGAGCACTCCCGGCGCCCCAGCAGCCGCTTGGCGAGGCCGCCGCGGCGGCCCGCGGTTCAGCTGCCCGCCCGGCGCCGTCCGCTCCCAGGGCGGAGCGCAGCTGTCGGGCTGTGGCCCTGTGGAGAGCCGCGCTGAGCTCCATGCCCCACCGGGCAGCCAACTGCCCAGCAAGGGCCTCGGCAACGCCTTCGTCGTCCGCCTCGAGCAGCGCGGCCTGCTCCCGGGCGAGCCCGCGCATGTGGCGCAGGGCCGCCTGGCCGAGCTGGCCAGCAGTCTCCAAGGCGTCTGCCCGCCGGGATAACGACGGCGCTCATCCGCCTCGGCGGAGGCGTTGACTGCCCCGCCGCGGCTGGCAGCGGCCTGCAGCGCATCGGCGTCACCGGGTGCGCTGCACCGGACGGTGACGTCGAAGAACGCTCGCGGGTGGCGGGGCGTTGTGCCTTGAGATCGAAGGCCTCCTCCTCCTCCTCCTCCTCCTTCTCCTCCTCCTCCTCCTCCTCCTCCTCCTCCTCCTCCTCCTCCAGGTGCGCTCCGACCCTGGTGCGCTCCGCGCGCGCGCCAGGGTGGGGGGGTCCAGCGCCAGTCCAAGACATCCGCGCGGACCTCCCAGCATTTCAGTGTATGCTATTGCTTGCTTGTTTTCCTGATCCTCCCTCTTCTTCAGGATCGCCCCGTGTCTTGCAATCGGCACTTCGAAGCTGGGACCCTGAGACATGGGGCCCTGGGGCTAGAAGGCTTTGAGTGGTGCAAGTTATACCTGGAATCCCCTCCCTGTCCCCCCAGGAGCCCATCTTCGAACCTACCGAACTCGTGGTGGGCAAGCCCCGCCTGAACGCCCCACCCCTCTTTGCCATCGCTCGGACGTCCATTCCTAGTGCATTTTTCGGTTTCGTGCGCGTATGCTTTCGCAAGGCAATCCAAGATACTCCTCGATGGTCCTCGCCGAGAAAAAATGCACACCTCCGAGCGATGCCAAGCCTCAGGGCCCCATCTTAACGCCCTTATCTGGCACCCGCCGGTATGATTTTTTTCAACCCGCGGCCCCGGAGATCCTGTGCCCCCTTCCCGGCGGGTCGTCTTGCGTCCTGGATCCGTTCTTGAGAGCCCCGGGCCCCGAAGAACGGGCCCCAGGGGCCGAAACCGAGGAACGACGCTGGCATTGCAAAAATCACATCGTCGGAGATCTGAACCTCAGGAGCCCATTTGAACGCCCTTCCTCGCCATCGCTCGGACGTCCATTCCCCGCGGATTCGGGTTCGCGCGTGTATCTTTCGCACGATGATTCTCGTTGCCCCTCGATGGTCCTCGCCGAGAACAAAATGCACACGTCCCAGCGATGCCAAATTTCATAGTTGGCGTGCCTCAGCGCTACTGGGCGCCGCGGCCCAGAAGTCGGTCACGTCCTTCGCGTCCTTCTCCAGCGCGGCCACCTCCACGGAGAGCCTCCGCAGCAGGGCCCAGAACACGGCGTCGCTCACCAAGTACGCGGCGTCCGACGCCTGCCAGGGTGATCCACAGATTCAGATTTCGGGCAGACGCTTATCTGGATTGCATGTCCGTGGATCTTAGAGGAAGGATGACTGCGCAAACACCGATCCGTGCCGAGCCCAGGATCGGTGCACACGCCATCCTATCTATGGCTTGGCACGGAAGCCGTGCACACCCATCCTGGGCCAGGGATGGGCCTGGTCAGGATCGGGGTATGTTTATATAATTCCTTTCGCCTGAGATCTGGTTCGGTGGTAACTCATGGGAGCCTCCCGCACCACCTTGTTGGCTCTTCCGGATCGACGCAAATCGACGCTAGTCGACGCTAATCCACGCTGAGTCGACGCTGATCGACGCTGATCGACGCTAAATCCGTGCTACCTCGTCGGTTACCAAGCGCTAGTCGACGCTAGCGCACACTAATTATGCTACCGAGGACCCTTACATACTTATATCATGGCTGGAGTGATGATAGCTGAAGTGAAGCATGTGAGAATGATGTTGGTGGCCGTTCCCTGCGCACCCCCTATTGTGTCGAGAAAGTGCCACGCCTGCTGCGCCCTGGACGACCGGCTCGGATAGCGGCCGCGCTCAGAGACCACCACCTGCGGACCCCCTAAGGTTACGAGAATATGCCACGCCTGCTACGCCCTGGACGACCGTCACGGATAGCGGTCGCCCTCAGAGACCCCCCCCTGCGCACCCCCTATGGTGTCGAGAAAGTGCCACGCCTGCTGTGCCCTGGACGACCGTCACGGATAGCGGCCGCGCTCAGAAACCACGACTTGCAACCCCCCTTATGGCGTCGAGAATGTGCCATGCCTGCTATGCCCTGGACGACCAGCCGGCTCGGATAGCGGCCGAGCTCAGAGACCACCTCCTGCGCACCCCCTCTGGTGTCGAGAGTATATCACGCCTGCTATGCCCTGGACGACCGGCTCGGATAGCGGCCGCGCTCAGAAACCACCCCCTGCGCACCCCGTATGGCGTCGAGAATGTGCCGTGCCTGCTACGCCCTGGACGACCGTCACGCATAGCGGCCGCACTCGGACACCACCCCCTGCGCACCCCCTTATGGTGGCGAGAATATGCCATGCCTGCTGTGCCCTGGACGACCGTCACGGATAGAAGCCGCGCTGAGAGACCATCCCCTGCGCACCCCCATGATGTCGAGAATGAGCCATGCCTGCTATGCCCTGGACGACTGTCACGCATAGCGGCCGCACTCGGACACCGCCCCCTGCGCACCCCCTATGGTGACGAGAGTATGCCATGCCTGCTGTGCCCTGGACGACCGTCACGGATAGCGGCCGCGGTGAGAGACCATCCCCTGCGAACCCCCTCTGGTGTCGAGAGAATGCCATGACAACTGTGCCCTGGACGACCGTCACGGATACCGGTCGCCCTCAGAGACCAACCCATGCGCACCCCCTCAGGTGTCGAGAAAGTGCCACGCCGTCCGCGCTCTCCGACCCTGGCACGCATAGAGGCCGCGCTGAGAGACCACCCCCTGCGCACCTCCTTTGGGGTCGAGAAAGTGCCACGCCTGCCACGCTCTCCGACCCTGGCACGCATAGAAGCCGCGCTGAGAGACCACCCCCTGCGAACCCCCTCAGGTGTCGAGAACGTGCCACGCCTGCCACGCTCTCCGACCCTGGCACGCATGGAGGCCTCGGTGAGAGACCACCCCCTGCGCACCCCCTCTGGTGTCTGCCACGCCTGCCACGGTGGCACGCATCTCTCGTGTCGATGCCAGCCACGCTCTCCACCTGGCACGCATGCTGAGAGACCACCCCCTCTGGTGTCGAGAACGCCTGCCACGCTCTCCGACCCTGGCACGCAGAGGCGCTGAGAGACCACCCCCTTCGCACTGGTGTCGAGAAAGTGCCACGCCTGCACGCTCTCCGACTGGCACGCAGAGGCCGCGCTGAGAGACCACCCCCTGCGCACCCCCTCTGGTGTCGAGAACGTGCCACGCCTGCCACGCTCTCCGACCCTGGCACGCATGGAGGCCTCGCTGAGAGACCACCCCCTTCGCACCCCTTCTGGTGTCGAGAAAGTGCCACGCCTGCCACGCTCTCCGACCTAGCACGCATAGAGGCCGCGCTGAGAGACCACCCCCTGCGCACCCCCTCTGGTGTCGAGAAAGTGCCACGCCTGCCACGCTCTCCGACCCTGACACGCATAGAGGCCGCGCTGAGCCAGCCACGCTCTCCGACCCTGGCACGCATGGAAGCCGCGCTGAGAGACCACCCCCTGCGCACCCCCTGGTGTCGAGAACGTGCCACGCCTGCCACGCTCTGCTGGCACGCGCTCGCTGAGAGACCACCCCCCGCACCCCTTCTGGTGTCGAGAAAGTGCCACGCCTGCCACGCTCTCCGACCTGCACGCATAGAGGCCGCGCTGAGAGCTGCAGAGACCACGCCTGCCACGCTCTCCGACCCTGGCACGCCCCGCGCTGAGAGACCACCCCCTGCGCACCCCCTCAGGTGTCGAGAACGTGCCACGCCTGCCACGCTCTCCGACCCTGGCACGCATGGAGGCCTCGCTGAGAGACCACCCCCTTCGCACCCCTTCTGGTGTCGAGAAAGTGCCACGCCTGCCACGCTCTCCGACCTAGCACGCATAGAGGCCGCGCTGAGAGACCACCCCCTGCGCACCCCCTCTGGTGTCGAGAAAGTGCCACGCCTGCCACGCTCTCCGACCCTGACACGCATAGAGGCCGCGCTGAGAGACCACCCCCTGCGCACCCCCTCTGGTGTCGAGAACGTGCCACGCCTGCCACGCTCTCCGACCCTGGCACGCAGTAGAGGCCGCGCTGAGAGACCACCCCCTGCGCACCCCCTCTGGTGTCGAGAAAGTGCCACGCCTGCCACGCTCTCCGACCCTGGCACGCATAGAAGCCGCGCTGAGAGACCACCCCCTGCGCACCCCCTCTGGTGTCGAGAAAGTGCCACGCCTGCCACGCACTGCGAATCCTACACGCACTCGGTGTGCCCAGTATGTAGCGCGCACGTCGTGGGTGTACGGTGCAATGAACACGACAGGCGTGCACTAGCGTTGTATGGCGTGTGTGTGTGTGTGTGTGTGTGCATGCGTGCGGCTGCATGCAGACACGTGTCTGATCCACGTGCCGTGCATGTGTTGCGCGTGGATGAAGGGAGGAAGGAAGCGAAGGAGGGGAGGAAGGAGGAGGGAGGGGAGGTGTGTGTGTGTGTGTGCGGGAGACTCCGGTGAGACGCGGCAGAGAAGAAAGCCAGCACCCCACGAAACATGTGGGGAACCAGAACGGTGCTGTGCTCCGCTGTGCTGTGCTGCGCTGCGCTGTGCTGTGCTGTGCTGTGCAAGAAGGAGAAGGAGGAGGGGTGAGGAGGAGACGAGGGTGCGACGCGGGAAGGAAGAAAACCATACCCCCACACATACCGACAAGGCTCAACACGGCTCCCATGTGAGTATCGCTTAACCGATCCCAATCCACAGCGGCGTGGCCTGGGCCCCACTGGCCGATTCACCCCCTAGATGGGGATATAGGTCGTTCCCTTCGGGCTTCGAGGAGTGTATCCCCAGCTGGGGTGGTAATTTGGTGGGGGTCTCGAAGGGGATGGGGATGGGGATGGGGATCGGTCAACCGATACTGACAAAGGTTTGCTACCGAAATCTGGCACGTGAACGCAGGGGGGGGCAGCAGCCCGCCCCTGCGAAGCCACGAGGCTGGTGCCGCGCCGATGCTGCAAGGAATCGGGACGCGCCACTTACCCTGGCGCCCTAACTAGACAAGCGCGTTCCACTTCTCGCAAAGCGACTACTCGCAGATGGCCTGGATCCGCCGCGGGGGATCTACGATAAATTCCATCGAGGCAAGCATATGTTTTTCGGACATTTGCGAGTAGGCACTTTGCGAGTAATGGGACGCGCTCGGTGACTAACCCATGTTGGCGTTGGCACTTCCTCAAAAACTGCCGGCTCGGCCCCCCGACCCGAACCCTTCCCCTCCCCCTCCCCAGGCATTCGGGCGGACTGTGATGCCCGGACTCGTATCAGTCGGGCGTCCGCCAACGGGGGGGCAATCAGCTACGAGGGAAACAATTTGTTTTTGATCCGCGGGTCGAGAGCGCACCTCTTCCGGTCGAAGCTAAGCGGGCCGCGCACAGCTCGAATTCACAGAGGGGGGAAGGCAGAAGGAGGGGCCTCACGTCAAGGCCAAGAGAGGGCAAAGCCCCGGATTCAGGCGGTGCCGAAGACGATGTGCATGCGAAGGAACGCCTTGCACATGAACCCGGCGAAGAGGGAAAAAACACGCGGGCGCCAGATACACGGATCGGGGAGAGTCCCCCCCGAACCATGGAGCGAAGGCCGCCCGACCTGCGGCGGAGCGCTTTGATTATGTATGGCAACGGGGCCCGTCGCCAATCCATGCGCCTCAATAGGTGCTCTCGTTTCCTGGTGTGCACAACTTACGGTGCACGCCAGTCAAAAAGCCTTTCCCCCCCGATCCCTCACCCTCCGCCTCCTCCTCGCCCTGCTCCTGGGGCCCCCCCTCGAGCTCCCCTTGAAGACTACTGACACGCACCGAATTCATCATGCCCATGTGTCCCCCCACGAGACCCTGCAAGCCCGCCTTGACATGAAAGACGCGGGTGCTTCGGGAAACGGGCTCTGGACCCCGAGGCCTCCCCCGGAGACCCGCTCAACATCGTGCGCTGTTTTTTTGCTGACGGTCTCTGTGCCCGGCAGGGCCCCGAGAGCCCGAGAACCTCGAACAACCCGTAGGATCCTCCAGCTCCCCGCCTGCTGTCTCCGCCCGCCCCCCCTTGCGTCTGCCCGCCCTGCCGGCTCCTCCTCCTCCTCCTCCTCCTCCTCCTCCTCCTCCTCCTCCTCCTCCTCCTCCTCCTCCTCCTCCTCCTCCTCTTCCTCCTCCTCCCCCTCCTCCTTCTCCTCCTCCCCCCGGCCTCCCGCCCGCGCGCTCGTCGTCGCCTGCCTGCTTCTCCCCTCCTCCCCCCCCCTCCGCCGGCCGCACAGCCCCGCCTCCCCCCGGCCCGGCGTGGCGGCGCGCGGGGCTCCGTCGGAGGCCGCCCCTCTGCGCGGGCACCGAGCTCCGCCGCGCGAGCGCTGGCTCCGCGGGGACTCGCCTGCCTCCCGGCGGCCTCCCCGCCCCTCAAGACCCTGGCGGGCCCCGGCGGACCCTGGCGGGGATCGATCGCAGATCCCGAGAGTGCGACGCGGGCGGCGCAGGGGCCGTGGATCTGCGACGGCCAGCGGGCAGCCGTCCGTCCAGGGACGGGCCGGCGGCTCTGCGCCTCCTCGCCTGCGGTGGCAAACGAAATGAGCGCCGCGCTCACGTCACCACCACGAGCGCCAGCATCAACATCAGCATCAGTGTCAGCATCAGCATCCGTATCAGCACCATTCCACCCATCATTACCACCACCACCACCACCATCATCATCATCATCATCATCATCATCAGCATCATCATCATCATCATCATCATCATCATCATCATCATCATCATCATCATCATCATCATCATCATCATCATCATCATCATCATCATCATCATCATCATCATCATCATCACCATCAGCATCATCACCACCACCATCATCATCATCACCATCGTCAGCATCAGCATCATCATCATCATCATCATCATCATCATCATCCTCATCCTCATCATCAGCATCATCGTCATCATCAGCATCATCACCAGCATCAGCATCAGCATCAGCATCAGCATTAGCATCATCATCAGCATCATCACCAGCATCAGCATCAGCATCAGCATCAGCATTAGCATTAGCATCATCATCAGCATCACCATCACAACCAGCATCATCATCACCATCACCATCAGCACCAAGACCACAACCATCATCGCCATCACCATCACCACCACCACCATCCCCTATCACCATCATCATCATCACAAACATCATCATCGATATCATCATCACCACCATCACCATCATCGTCATCCCCGTCGTCATTCTCATCCTCATTTACATCCTCATCCTCATCCTCATCCTCATCACCATCACCATCCTCATCCTCATCCTCATCCTCATCCTCAACATCCTCATCCTCATCCTCATCCTCATCCTCATCCTCATCCTCCTCCTCCTCCTCCTCCTCATCATCATCACCATCACCATCACCATCACCATCACCACCACCACCATCATCATCATCATCATCATCATCATCATCATCATCATCATCATCATCATCATCATCATCATCATCATCATCATCACTACCATCATCATCACCACGATCAGCTCGTCGTTCTCCGTCCCCGCGTCTTCTTCTTCCTCCTCCTCCTCCTCCTCCTTCTCTCCCTCCTTCTCCTCCTCGTCCCTCATCCTCCCTCCCTGGCCCTCCCTCGCTCCTCCCTCCTTCTCTTTCGCCCTGTCGTTGCCGTCTGATTTTCGGGACACAACTCAGCCCCGAGGCAACTGTTCGGAACGATCTGAACACTGAGAAGCGCTCTCGGCGCGGCGCCGCTGCTCGCTGCTGGGAAGCATCCCGAGGCTGGAAGCCCGCCGATAACCGAGGAACACGTCAGACAACCTCGAACGTCGAACGGGCAACTTCCCTCGCTCTCCTCCCTCCTCCTCCTCCTCCTCCTCCTCCTCCTCCTCCTCCTCCTCTTCCTTCTCCACTTCCTCCTACTCCTTCTCCTCTTCTTCCTCCTCTTCGTCCTCCTCTTCGTCCTCCTCTTCGTCCTCCTCTTCGTCCTCCTCTTCGTCCTCCTCTTCGTCCTCCTCTTCGTCCTCCTCCTCCTCCTCCTCCTCCTCCTCCTCCTCCTGGGTGGCTCATGGGCGGCATGATCCGCCATTGAGAGCGGGGAACGAGAACAGGTCGAACCCCACGAAGACGAAGTCTCCCGGCAGGCCGCGACAGCGCAGGTAGATCGCGAAGGAGACCACTAGCCATACCAATGCCACCGTGCACGAGGGAAGCTGCCACACCCGAGAAGCCAGGCCCGAGAAAGCGTCCGCCGCCCCGAGGGTGACCCGCACGCGCACGTGATCCAGCACGCAGTGGCCACTCCGGGCGTGCCCTCGCCGCACGTGCCTGGGGTGGCAGCGGCCTGCACGCCTGTCGCGGCGTGCCGCGCGTGTCCACCTTGGCGAGCACCCGACGACAGGATCGTGCCACCTGCCAGCCAGAGAACCATGAGGACCTCGAAGGAGACGGCGCCGCCGAGGGTGGGACACGAAGAGCATGAAATTCCACCTCGCTGGGCGCGCTGCCCAGCTGTTTCCGCAGGCGCTCGGAGCCGCGGGCGTCGATGGCCGCCGGCTCGTCCAGCTTGTCAACGATGCCCCACGCCTGAGGGTCATCACGTCCACGGCGGAACATCTCCACGAGCTTCGTCGGAGACTCCTCGTCCCGTCGGGGCGCCTCGGTCTTGTGCAGGCCCTGCCGCTGCGACTCGAGGCACACTTCGTGGCCTCGGCGCCTCCTCTTCGCCCCGCGCCACCTCCGGGGAGGCCCACGGAGGCGAGAAGGAAGGAAGCCCCCCTGGGCACCGACAAAATGTCTGATGTGTCGCCGCGCGCCACCGCCAACGGCGAGCCCGTCACTCCCGCCCCGCCGCGCGCCCCGAAAGAGTCCCGACGCGAGGGCGGCGCCACGGAGCCAGACAGACTACAGGACCCTGGCCCCGTTTGGATCCCGTTGGCGGTTCAAGCGCGGCTTGAGCCGAAATGGCTACGGTCCTCATCCTCCTCCTCCTCCTCCTCCTCCTCCTCCTCGTTCTTCTCCTCCTCCTTCTCCTCCTCGTCGTCGTCCTCATTCTCCTCCTCCTCCTCCTCCTCGTTCTTCTCCTCCTCCTCCTCCTCCTCCTCCTCCTCCTCCTCCTCCTCCTCCTCCTCCTCCCCAGGAGACTGCAGAACAAACTCACGGAGGCTCCGGCCCGAGCCTGTGCCGCGAGCACGCGGGCCTCGCCAGAAGCGCCCGCGCCGAAGGCGACGCAGGCGCTGATCGCGTCCACCAGCGCCTCGTCGCTGCAGACCTCGACAGCCTCGGAGCTGGAGCGGCCAGCATCGAATCGATGACTGGCGGATATCCGGGTTCGAGGCTCGGTGGCGCGGCGCAGGTTTCGGGGAAGGTTCGTCGGTTCTCGGTGGTTTTCCAGCCTCGGGATGCTTTCTGGCAGCTGCGCTTCGCCGAGGGCGCTCTGGGGGTGCCCGAATCTTCCCGAACGGCCGCCAGAGGACTTATTTATGACCCGAAACTGATGAGGCGTCCGAGAGGGGGCGAGCACTCTCAGCAGGCTCAGAAGGCCTCCGGCCGGCTGAGAAGCTTGGAGAGCTTTTTCTCCCCAAACCGCAGAAAGCTTCTCAGAAGGCCGGGGGGCTTCTGAGAAGCCCCGCCGCCTTCTGAGAAAACCTGCCCCCTCCCACTCCCCCCCCGGGCGCGTCGCCGAGGCTCGGACCGGAACGTGCATCGGATCGGGCCACACTCGGCGCGGAGCCGAGGTCGAATCGTGCCGGCCGCGCTGGGAAAGACAAAGCAGCGCATTGCGAACATCGGGCCGCGTCGGGTTGTCGGGATCTCCACAGATCCGATGTCTTGTTGTTTGATTTACGCGGGATAGCCGGAATTCGGCCCCTTTTCCTCGGGTTCAGCATTTCATCTCGAACCGTTGCCTGACGGTCCCGAGGCCTGGCGGGGGCCCCCACAGGCCGAACACGGCAAACAAAATTCCGTCTTGTTTTTTGTTCAATAAGTTGGAACTCTGAGTATCGGGGAGGAGGAGGAGGAGGAGGAGGAGGAGGAGGAGGAGGAGGAGGAGGAGGGAGGGGGAGGAGGGGAGAGGAAGAGGACGAGGAGAAAGAGGATGAGGATGAGGATGAGGATGAGGATGAGGATGAGGAGGAGGAGGAGGAGGAGGAGGAGGAGGAGGAGGAGGAGGAGGAGGAGGAGGGGGGAACCCATACCGAATCGGAGCCGCACCGGATCGAAGTGGGCCCGCGCCTTGGAGGCGTTGTCCTCCGCGGGTCCCGCGGGGCCCTTCGCCTCCTCGGCCCTCCCCGACTTGGCGGCCGCGAAGCGCGCGGCCTGAGGGCGGCAGGGTGGCGCCAAGTATAAGCTGTGCGCTTAGTGGGCCCTGGAGGGGACAGCTACATGAACATAAATCAGGAGGGGAAAAACACACAAGACACAATTGACCGTCGACTCCCAGGAAGATGTGGGAAAATATGGGAAGTGGGGGGGGAACACGAAAACCCAGAAAATATATGAAAATATGGGGAATACTGTTATGTGCGTGCATTTATGTGTGTGTCCCTGGACCTTAGTGGGCCCTGGAAACGACAGGGCCGTTTCTTGATAAGCGTCGGGGGGCGTCGCCCCCGCCGACGGCCCCACATCGACCCCCTTCGCGGGCAGCCACCGCGCGACGGAGGCGCTCCGACCCCCGTCGCGGCGCGACGACGAGGCGAGGCTGACCCGCGTCGGGGGGGGGGTATCCCCCCACGCTTCTCAAGACAACCGGAATGTTCTTCGTGCTTGCTGGACGCTCTCGTGCATCCCGGCGAGGGCACCCCTGGACGCTGCGTCTGGCTTGGCCGACGGAGGGCCCCTGTGCCCCCTGAGGGATGGTCGCCTGGCCCAGGCCCGACGGCACACTCGGTACCGATCCTGGCCTCCTGCCCCATCTGGTCCTGCCTCCTCTCTGCCCTCTGCCGAGGCAGGGCCCGCGGTGTCGAAAGCGCACCCAAAGAGTTGTACCCTTAGAAAATCCAGGTTCGCTAGGGACTGGTTTCCTCCCGAAACAGCCGAAACCCTCCCGAAACCCTTCGAAAACCCTCCTGGAAGGGTTCCTGGAGGCCTTTCGACGGGCTTCGGAAGGGTTTTGGAAGGGTCTTCGCCGTTTGGGGGGGAAACCAGTCCCTAGCGAACCCTGGGCTTTCTAATAATTGTACCCCGAGGCCGCTGGTCGTCCTGTCGTCATCGGGCCACCAGCTACAGTCGAAGCGCGGCCGCGAGAAGCCCTACACGAGGAGCGAGGCCCCTTTTTTGTTCCATGAGCGAAGCTCCGATCCCCCACGGAAGACCGACGGGACACCTGAGACAAGCTGTACAACACCTGAGCAGCAAGGCGCCCCTCCCCGACGACAGGGGATGCTTCTTCAGCGGCCCGACTGTACGCTAAGGAACGCCGGAAGAGAGACGAGGGGGGGGCCTCGGCCACGAAAGGGCTCCCCGACCTCAGCACGAATGGGCTTCCCAGGCCCAGGTCCCAGGAACGGCCCGAGAACTACAGCCCCTCCTGAGCCTGAAGTTGACTACCTACCAGACCACCCCAACCCAACCCGAAGACCCGAATTTGATCCGAATTTCGGGTTTGGGGGGGGTACGGGTTCCATGTGTTTTTTTCGATGTTCCCCGACCCCCCCCCACTAGAAATGGAGGGCAAATTGAGGCCTTCGGGTTGGGTTGGGGCTGTTTGGTGGGTGGTGAGAAGGGGTCCTTATCTCAACCTCTTGGCCGCCAGAGTAGCTCTCGCCCCTTCCGCTCCTCAAGCGCGCCAAACGGGCTCCAAGACGGCCTTCCGATGCCGCCCAACGGTGCCCCGAAGATCGTCCAAGATTGCGCCAAGGCGCTCCCTAGACTTAGAAAGCCCAGGGTTCGCTAGGGACTGGTTGCCCCCCCAAACGGCGAAAACCCTTCCAAAACCCTTCCGAAGCCCGTCGAAAGGCCTCCAGGAACCCTTCCAGGAAGGTTTTCGGGGGGGTTCGGCTGTTTCGGAAGGAAACCAGTCCATAGCGAACCTCGACTTCCTAACCTCCTCCTCCTCCTCCTCCTCCTCCTCCTCCTCCTCCTCCTGCGCTCGTAGCTGAGCTCCCCCTCCCCCCCTGACCCTAGATCGCCCGAAAAGACCTCAATAACACTGCCCCAGGATGCTTGACGGTGCCCCGGATTGGCTGACCCTACCATACGATGGCCTCAAACTGCAACCACAACTATGCAAACTAACTACAATGGGCACATGCGATCAACATAGCTTGCTGTAAGAAGTCGTGGGGCACATTCTTCGCCGATCTTTGATCATGTTATTGTGCCTCAGAGCGTACGCGGGCCCCAAAACCATCAGGGGATAGGAAACTTCCGTGATGCACCTGCTGGCAGGCTGGTCTCGTGTTTGACGTGCCTGCCGTACCCAGGAGGCCCCACAACTGGCTACAAAGAGTACTTGATGGAACCTCGAGACAGCGCCGAGAGGCAGAACCTCGGGGGGGAGGCTGCGGCAAAGGACCGTCACCGAGTAGCCCTTGCTGTATCGTCGGGTAGCTGACTGAGTGGCTGGGCCTATCTGTGCGTCAAACGCCCCCCCCCCCCCCCAAAGCTGCCCGCCCTTGCTGCAACCTCCGAGCCTTGGCCTTGCGGAGCTCCTCCAGGTCTGACTTTCGCTTCCCCTTGTCGACATCCTCGCTGGCCGTGGGCGGATCCAGGCACTCCTTCGGGATGATGCCCATCTTTACTCCTTCCTCGACCGAGAGGCCGAGAACCTGTAGCGCCGCCAGCTTGTCAGGGGGAATCTCCATCTTAGCTGCCCTTGCAGCGGCTGCCTTCTCGGCTGCGGCCTGCTTGGCCGCGGCAGCTTTCTCCGCCTCGGCCTTTCTGGTGGCCTCCTCGGCCGCCTTTGCCTCCTCGGCGGCGGCAGCCTTCGCGGCCCTCTCCTCGGCCTCCTTCTTCTCCTCCGCGGCCTTCTCCGCGGCCTTCTCCTCCGCCGTCTTCTTCCCGAAGAAGCTCTTCACGGCCGCCGACGGCTCGCTGCCCCCCCCGGCGGCCGCGCCGCCGCCGCTGCCGCTGGCGGCAGCGCCGGCTCCACGACGCCGAGCGAAGAAGCCGCCGCCGCCAGCCTGGTAGGTCTCCTCCGCCTTCACCGCCGCCACGCCTGCGAGCGGCGCCTCCGCGGCTGCGATGGCGGCCGCCTGGCAGGAAGAGAGAAAGACAGCGGCACAGCAAACGAAGCCAGGACCAGGACAGCAGGGGGCCGGGATTCGGGGATCTGGAGCGCTACAGCACGAGCAGAGCCACGAGCCGTGCGCCGCAAGCTCTCGGAACTCGGAGCGGCGCTGGACCTCCCCCCTCCCTCGCGCGGGCCCGCGCCAGGGCCGGCGCCGCCAAGAGGGTGGCGGCGGCCCAGCGCATGCTCCCAAAAGCCCGCGCGGACCTCGAGCGTGTGCGTCTGCGCCGCCTGCTCCCCTCCCCCGCGCTCCCCCGGCGCCTGCTCCGCCGACGGCGCCGGCACCGGCAGGTCCGAGAGCCTCGGCGGCCGCGCCGCGGGCTTGGGCGCCGCCTGCGGCGCCGCGCCCTCGTCCACGCCGGCCGCGGCCGCGGCCGCGCGCTTGCGGGCGAAGAAGCCGCCGCCGCCGGCCTGGTAGGCTCCGCCCGCCGCGGCGGCCGCGCCCGCCGCGGGCGCGGGCTCGGCGGAGCTGCCGGCCGCGGCGCCCGCCGCGTCGGCGGGGGCGGCGGAGCCGCTGGCCGCGGCCGCAGGCTCGGCCTCAGCCTCGCCCTCGCGGACCTTGTTGAAGCGGGCGAAGAAGCCCCCGCGGCCAGGGGGCCGGGCGACGCCGCCCGCCTCGGCCGACGCCCCCGAGGCCTCGCTGCCGGCCCCAGGCGCGGCGTCGCTCGAGGCGCCCTCGGGTGGCAGGAAGCAGGTCTTTGGCGGCGCGCAGGGGAGGGTAAGCAGGAGGGCGAGGGGGTCAGGTTTTTTTTGTTGTTTTCCCTTCTGTTGGGGGAGGACGCGCCCCTCCCACTGCTGCTGCGGCACCCACGCTGTAGTCAGGCAGCAGCCGTCCAGGCCCTGCTCTGACCCCCCCACACGCCTGTGCAACAACAGGAGCTGCCTTCGGGGAGGGGAGGAAGCTTCTTCTAGGGAGGCTGCTCCTTAGAGGGCGCGGGCCTTGGACTTGCAGCTCAAGAAGCAACCTCCCTCTGAAGAAGCCTTCCCCCGTCCCACCTGGCCCCCCTCTGCGCGTGGCTGCAGTCTGGCGCTTATTGGGCCCTGGAAACGACAAGGCCGTTTTTATACCGGTTCCGTTTTGCCGTTTTTTTGCCGGTTCCGACGCCGTTTTTTTACCAATTCCGTCGCCGTTTTTTGACCGGTTCCGGCTCCGGTTCCAATCCTGGAGCTGTTTTTTTGTTGCCGTTTCCGGTCGCCGTTTTTTTTTCCACTTCCATTTTCAAGGGACATTTTTTTGGAAACGGTGAAAAAACGGCCCTGCCGTTTCCGGGGCCCACAAATGTCTGGCGGACTCTGGGGGAATCGACGGCTCTCCCCGGGACCAAATCTTCACCCCGACGCGCGCTCTCTGCCGGTCCCGGAGCCGGTGGAGGGCGGGCCCCCATGGGCCCCGAACTCGGCGACAAACAGCTCCGGGCCCGCTTCCCTCTCGAGGCCCGTTTGCTTCGTGGCGACCTCGGCCTGGCGTCTGGCGAAGAAGCCACCCCCGCCCGGCTTGTAGCTCTGCTTGTCCTCCTCGGCGGCCTTTGGCGCAGCGTCGGCGCCGCCTCCCGTGGCCTCGGGCGACTGCGCGGCCTTGGCGGCCTTCTCGGCTTCCTTGGAAGAACGATCGTGGGCATGAACGCACATCTCTGGAGATCCGCGCCGCGCGGACTTCTCGGATCTGCCCCAGGCCTCCCTTGCCGCTCCCCGCGCGCCAGGGAGCGGGGGCCTGTAGGCGTAAGTCGGGCATGTCCTCCTACAGGGGGATTTCGGACGAAAACTCAGAAATACGCAATAAAAAATCAAACACAAACAGAAAGTACTAAAACAAATCGTCCCCAGACAATCTTTGAAATATTTTGAATACTTCTCCTGTAGAGGGACAGGCCCGACTTAAGCCTAGGTTCACCCTCTCCTCCAGTGCCGTATGTTTTGTCGTGACGTCGGCCTCCGGGGATCTCGACCCCTCTCCCCGAAGAAGAAGAAGACGCCTCGAGGTGAGGCAAGGCGGGTCGAAAACGAGGAGCGAGAGGGAAAGGAGAGAGGAGGCGGAGGGAGGGGACGAGGAGCGGAGGGAGACGGAGAAGAAGGAGCCAGGATGGCGGACTGGCGAGAGACGGAGAAGAAGGAGCCAACAATTCACCCCGAGCAATCTTCGGGACGGCCCCGCGGGCCGGAAGACGGCCTCCACATAATCCGAGAACTGCGAAGACACCGCCGGTGGCGACCTTCTTGCAGCGCCAGGCTCCGGGGGTACGAAGCGTGCTCCCAGGATTCTGGGCTATCATAGCCTCAGGTCGGGCCTGTCCTCCTACAGGCGGATTTTGGACGAACATAGAAAAACCCAAATATGCAAAAATGCAAAATAATATTCAAAACATCGTCCCCTGACTATTTTTGGACTGTTTTTTGATATTCCCCCTAGGGACACGCCCGACTCAAGCATAGCCCAGAATCGCACCGGTAAGTCAGGCTGGCGATCGAAATGTATCGAATCGGCGGAAGTCGGCAGGCTAAAAGGGTCCCGACGGAGGAACCGAACTCCGCACCGGAAGCCGAGGTCGAACCGCACCGGAATCGGAATCGAGGGGCATCGAAGTGGAATCGAAGCGGAGCAATCGACATGAGCTCGGTTCTTCTTCGTAAAACAGGGCTAGGACCTGGATAAATCGCTCTGGAGCGGCCGCGGCGCCCAATACATCCTCCAAACCCGCCGATTCTCAGAGATTTCGAGTTATCCCGATCCGATTTTGTCCCGATCTTCGCGTCGTTTGACTTCGGCTCCCCGCTTCCTCCGCGGCCTTCTTCCTGGCGAAGAAGCCCCCCGCGCCGGGCTGGTACTTGCCCTCCGAGGCGGCCGGCGCGCCCGCGGAGCCCGAGGCGGTCGCGGGGCCCTTGCGCCAGCGCGGCGGCTGGATCACCCTGCCGGTGGAGCGGTCGGCCCACTCTAGGGCGCGAGAGGATGGAGGGGGCGATAAAAAATGCGGAGGGGGAGGGGGGAGGCGGGGGGGAGAGAGGTGCTCCCCTGAGATCCTGGCGTTACCATTTTTTTTGCAACGGGCGTTTTCGCTCGATTTCAGGCCCCGGGACCCCCACAGATCGATCGGGCTCGAGAAATGACGCGGAAAGATGAGGTCCAGGTCTCCGGGCGTGATTTTTGCGATGTTGTATTTTTTTCCAACGTCGGATCTCAGGGTCTTCTCGGGCCCGAGAAGAGGCCCCCTTTGGCGCCCGAGAGGGCTCCTCCAGAGGGCCCCTTCAGGGCCCCTTTGCTGCAGCCCCCGCTGCCCCCCGTTGATCGCTCCCCCACTGCGCGCCCTCCAACAGTCAACGAGTCGGGCCGTTTCCGGGTCGACGGACAGCCATCGTGCTGCCAGCAGGAGCACTGGCCAAGGAACGAAAAGCCCGGTCCGTGCCCCCAAAGAGACGCGCCCGGGTGCACGGGGAAAGCTGGGGGGACCGCCGTGGGCCATGGAACGAAGCAGCGAGTCAGCCCGCTCTGGGCCCAAACTGATCCTTCTTCCCAGATCCCCAACGTGATGATTTTTTCATTGCGTCGACCCCCCGAGGTCTCGACCTATTCCCCGGGACCGGTTTTTCGTCCCGAGTCGTTTTTTGACGGTCCCGAGGCCCGGTAAAGGCCCCCACAGGCTGAAAACGGCGAACAGTCTCCCGTCGTGGTTCTTTCTTTGCTCGAGGGGGGTCTGGGTGTTGGCATCGTGGCTGCACCCTGGCAGGAGCGGCCCGCGCGGCTCGGGAGGTCGGAGATCGGACCAGAGCGGGGCCCGGGAGGACCCACGACCGCCGCCCCACGGCGGCCCTCTGAGCCCCCCCCCCCCGGGGGCGGCCTCCCGAGGGCGCCAGGCGGCCCGGGGCGGCATCGAGTCTGGAGAATCGGCTGATTCAGGGTATCTCCCTCCCCTCCTCCTCCTATTCCTCCTATTCCTCCTCCTCCTCCTCCTCCTCCTCCTCCTCCTCCTCCTCCTCCTCCTCCTCCTCCTCCTCCATGTCCTCCTCCTCCTCCTCCTCCTCCTCCTCCTCCTCCTCCTCCTCCTCCTCCTCCTCCTCCTCCTCCTCCTCCTCCTCCCCCTCCTCCCCCTCCTCCCCCTCCTCCTCCTCCTCCTGCTCCTCCTCCTCCTCCTCGCCGCAGCCACGTTCCACAGAGTTTAAGTCGGCTACACGTCGTTCATTTCTGATTGTGCTCGTTCCTGATTCTGCTCGTTTCTATGTCTTCCTGGCCCCCCAGTGGCCAGGAAGAGGCCCAGGATGGAAGAGCCAGAAGTGAAAGGATCTTGCCCCCCCCAAAAAAAATCAAAGAACTCTCGAAGACTCAGAAATGAGCAGTGCGTACATTCTTAGCTGCCCCCGTGCGCAACACGCAACACATTGTCGTGGATCGCGTGCACGCCGTGGCCAACACGGCTCACGCCCGGCGGAGCCAGGGTCGGAATCCATGTCCGGCCCCCCTCGGCGGGACGTCTCCCCGAACGCCTGCAGTCTCTCCAAGCCCGAGGGGAGAAGCCCAAAAGCAAGGGCTCCCAGCTTCGCGCTTCGCGCTGCGCGAAGAGCGAAGTGCGAATAACTTCGCGCTCTCGCGCCGCCGCCCAGGGGCGAAGAGGAGGAAGAGGAGGAATCGGAGCCGAACCGCGAAGCGCGAATGACCTCGCGCCCTCGAGGGCGCCCTTGAAGAGCCTCCAGGACAGCATCGGGCGGGATCGGGCGGCATCGGGTCGGGAGGATGGGCCGACTCGGGGCAGCAGGGCGACGTGCGAACGGCCGCGCTGGGGTCGACGACGCGTCGACGCGGCTTGAACCCGCCCGCACGGCTGCTCCGGGGCACTACATGCCGCGGCGGTCGGTACCGCATCGGCCATGGGAACGTGCGTCGGATCGGGCTGCAGCGGCACGGAGTCGGAACTGGATCGGGTCGGCCGCGCCAGAGTGCACCATGCGAGCACCGGGGTGCACCACAAGTCACCAAATGTCGGAAGCGAATCGGAGCGGGACGGCCAGAACCCGCCGAGCCCCGATTGCCGGGGGGGTGAAGGCGCGTGAGGTGAGTTGGCTGCTCCCCCTTCCCCTTCCCCCTCCCCAAAGGTTCCAAATTGCAGTTTATGGGGGGGTATCAAGGCTCCTCGGCGCACCCCTGGAGACCAGAGCTTCCAAATCTGCCTTCCGTGGCCTCGAAGACGTTCCAAGACGGTCCCGAATCGCAGAACGATTGGCCGAAGACGCCCACGATGGCTCCAGGACGCCGCAAAAGCCTTCGAGACGCCCCAAGAGCCGTCCCAAGAAGGCCCCGAGTGGCAAAACTCACTGGTTTTCCTGCGGTTTGTCACTGGTTATGGGGTTATCAACTTCTCGAACTTCCGACGCCCCGAGACGGCCCAAGAGGCCCCGTGGACCGCCCCAAAACTGCCCAAGAGGCCCCTGCGAGGGCCCCAGGACGGTCCAAGAGGGTTCCAAGACGGACCCAAGACGGCCGAAGATCGCCCCAAGAGGGTCCCAAGAGCGGCGAAGAGGGAGAACACGAACCGAAAATCCGATCTTTCCGCACCTAGGGGTCCCCCAAGGCCCCAAGACGCCCTCAGGCGGCCCAAAAGAGGCCCACAATAGGCCCCAAGAGGCCCTCGAGAGGCCCCAAGGTGGCCCCCAACACGCTTCAAAACTGCCTCCAAGAGGCTCCGCCAGGCCCCCAAACAGCTCCCTAGACGCCCAAGATAATCTACACGTAGTGCCCAAGAAGCCCACGACGCCTCAACCTGTGGAGCCCACGCCTCTTCTAGGGGCCGGCAGAACGGCGTAAGCCTCCTGCATCAATATCGACTCGGATCGAGGGGATCGGTGTGGGCCCTGCCTGGGGGGCTCGGGCTTCTTCTCGGACAGCGCGGACTGCGAGTAGGCCTCCTCGCTGGTCCCTGCACCCTTGAAGCGCTTTGCACCGCTTGGCGGCACAAACATCGGCGGGCGGTCGCGCTTGCCCTTGCAGCCGCCTTTGGCCCCGTGCTCGAGCATGGGCGGGGCGAACAAGAGGGCCTGTCGCGTTTAGTTTTTTCTGCTCCGGCTGCCGAAACCATGCGGCCTGGGAGCAGCCACACCATGTCCAGCCAGACCCAGAAGCTATCAACATCCCCATTGCCAGCCAACTCCCCACACCCACAAACCTGGCTGCATTCTGGCTGTACTTCGGCCTGGCTGATGGTCCAGGCGGTCCGTACAGCCGCTTCGTGTCGTGACGACTCGTGCTTTGGTGTCTGACACTGCGTCAGTAGCCCAACCTCGAACGGCCGCGGCTTCCCGATAGCGCAGCTCGTTCGACATCGGCGGAATCGGGGCCACCGTCGGCGTTCAACCTTGGACGCCCGCAACTGGGATCGCCGGCACGTCGACGCGGCGCGAACCTGGCCGCATGCCGACGGCGAGCGAGGGGGATACGCGAGGCGGAGAAGGCCTCCTCTCAGAAGGCGGCGGGACTTCTCGGAAGCCCTCGCGCCCTCTGGGCGGCTCCCTGTGTGCTCGGGAAAGCGCAGACAGTTTCTCGGAAGGCCTGCTCAGTGAGAAGGCCCGCCCCTTCTCGCTTCCCCTGGGCTCGCCGCCGAGCATGGCTGCTCCAGGCCACTGTGCGAGGCAAGCCCGGGCACGGGCCT